CGGATACAATGTTGCAATTATTAATATCACATTAATTACCATCTTTTTCTAGAAGCGAGTAGGTGTGGCCCTTAGGGGACATAATGTGGCACTTTGCAAGTTCACTCCATTCGGCACACTGTTTCCTATTTGAGTCTGACATACTGTACCTGTTGTGCGAGTTATGAATAGAAAACATCAGCAACCATTCTTGCTAAGTTACGGATGGATGTGGATCGGTTGCTACGGGCAACAAGGAATGTTCCTGATAGCACACGTTAGCTCCATTGTCTCTTGGTGAGGATTGCCCAGCGGGGGGGGGTAGATTTTCCTGGCTGTTCCCCTTTAAATCTTTGTCTTCCTGTGCTTGTAAATCAGCGCGTGCTCCTTCCCTGCACAGACGGGTTCAAGTGCCATTCATTATATACCGCAATCTCCATTAAACATTGATTTTGTAGCACCAGACAGGATGCAGTGAGTGCATGTGTGAAGTGTAATGATTCTCCTCCATCCACTGGAAGGTGGCAAGAAAAGATCAGAGGACGCCTCGGCTTATACAGGAATCAGTTTATTACAGATGACGTTCAATCTGCATAGATTTTACTTCCCCTGGTTCCCCCCTCCCCCCTCATCAACATGAGAATGACATCGTTACATAAAGCATGTTTTCATGACATGCCTTTATTGTAAACCTACATGCCTCATTACATGCCTTATTGCTGGTATGTAAAGCTGGGGACACACCAGACCCGGGCATTTTACAGAAGCGGGCCACCTCCAGCCCTTGGGCTGTCCCTGTCCAGACATGGGCTGAGAAACAGTTGTCTGGACTGCGATCTCTGACCTACGCTCGGTTATGGCTGGCTGGCAGCAAAAGCCCAGTTCAGGTCGCCCTACTCTTTAGTTGTTAGTTGCTAGGACCGCTGGCATCCTCGCAACCAATGACGTCAGATGTCCACCTCCTCTGCAGTCATTGGTTGCTAGGACCAACAGCGGAGGCCCCCAAACGTGTTCCCACCAGCATTTACAGGAGGATGGAAGAGTATCTTCTTGTGGCCTCTCCGGCTCCCGCCTCTGGCCTACTAATAAAGTATGTGCGGACAATAATATAAAGGGGCGCTATAAAGGGGACAAGCAATGTAAGAGGTCGCTCTAATGGCGATGTTATCAAAACCATAAAATGTATTTCTTTTTATAAAGCCATAAAATGAATATTGAGCAGAAGTAATTCAGCCTATCGGCTTGGCCCTCCACAACAGTCCCACGTTCTCATGTGGCCCCCTGAGAAAATGAATTGCCCACCCCTGGTATACACGGTTAGCACTTCATCCAAAGTTCTAACCAACCCTCATTTTCACAATGTTCACTCAATTTCCTAATTGTCAATGGGGTTGAATCTATGATTGATTTTGAACGCAGTGACGGGGGAAAAAATGGAAGGACCAAGATGGAAATGTTTTTGCACGAACGAAATGTTAATAGTGTTTGAGAAGCTCCATTAATTTCCAAAACCCAGCGTTAGGACGGATTGGCCACCCCTGGTACACACAGACAGAACTTCGTCCAAAAAAGTCATTTTCACAACGTTCATTCAATTTCCTAACAATCAATGGGGTCACACTGATGATCGATATGAAACCCAGTGACGGGAAAAAAATGGACGGACCGACCAGCACCAAGTGTTCAAGAAGCTCCATTCATCTCCAAGATCGAGTTTTAGGACGGAGCGGAATTGTGAACGACGCTGGTCAAGTCTTTGATGGCATTATCCAGTGAGATCTTTAGTACAAAGGGCGGTGCGAAATTCTAACCGTGTTTGTACGAGAAGCTCCGTTCATTTCCAAAATGGTGTGTTAAGACGGATTGCCCACCTCTGGTCAACACGGTTAGAATTTCGCCCGAAAAAAGGCATTTTCAGAACATTCATTCGATTTCCTAAATGTCAATGGGGTCAAATTTATTTTCGACCAGAGTGAGGGGGGGGGGGAAAATTGAAGGAGCAAGATGGACATTTTTTCTCAATTGAATGAAATTCTAACAGTGTTGAGACGGAACGTAATTTTGGACAACTTTGGTCAAGTCTTTGATGGCGTTATCCAATGAGA